GGTGGGTGTGGGAGTAGGAGTGGCAGGAGAATACAGAAAAGAGGGGATGGGTGAACGGACGTGGGTATATGCAGACGAGAGGGAGAGACAAAGAGAGACAAGGGAAAGAGAGACGCATCGAGGTCGAGGGCATTCGTTTGATCGAGTCCGTTTTCCCACGCGCTTCTCGCGGCGGCCTAGCCATGTTGAGAGACGTGCTACGCGTCTGCGAGTGCGTCTGCAGTACACGAGCACGCGTACCTATCACAGTGGCTGCTGTGCGAGTGCTCGTGTTCGATCGTGTGTATGCCCTCTGCAAGTTGCTAACTACGGAGAGATATAAAGAATGTATACACGATCGAGCCCCACGTTGAACAAAAATATATTCATATTCCTCGGTATCGACTATCTACAAATTGGATACATGTGGGTATATTGGCAACAATCCAGTATGGCCCGGTATCCGATTATAGATGCTGTTCTTATTGGGCATGACGCGCGACACGCGTCTCGTGAGCTGGAAAGGTGCTAAACCTGCTCGTGTATAAAAGCCAAAGAATTTTGTTGGATCGCCAGCTCAGTTTTGTTCTCTCATCCTCAGTCACAGTTCTGCATGGTCCGAGACGGTGATCTTTCTTCCATATTAATGGGTGTCGCATCCAGCAGTCATTAGCTGCAGAACCTACCGTTACGGTTTTCCACTGCCCCCACGATATATCGCTTTCATCAATACAACTTTGATGCTAGTAACAGTAATAATAGTTGCCTGCCCGCAGAGCTGCATGTCTATAGTGCCTACGGTCAGCTAGTCACGGATGGTGGGTTGGCTCTCGTAGTCACTTAACCTTACTTTCTTCCGAGTGCCAACATCAACATTTAAGTAAACTCCCAGCTCCAGCCGCTCTTATGCATTCCTGGTGGCACTATGGATAGGCTCCTAACATACAGCATCCGTTTCTTGTGGCGGTAAGCCATGTCTAGGATTTCACTGAGGATTATGAGCGTCACACTGGTTTGGATTGAGTGTTCAAGAGTTTGTTCGTACCTCTTATTGGGTGTTGGTTGTATAGGAGACTAAACGTCCTTTCGTGTGTACGTATGATGCACTATGCATGGTTACCACCAGTCCTAGTCAGGGTACGAATATCTAACGACTTGAAATTCATCGCACGAATGAAGGTAAGTACATCATTGATTTGCATTGTATATATGCATTTATATACTGGGGCATGATGCTGCGTCTAGCATCTGTCGCATGTACGAGTTTATCCTCCGAAACATCTCCCTTTGGAGCAGCGTTTGTGGTGTTTAATTAGGTGCAGAGTATATGTAGAATAGTTCCGGGACCCGTGGATAGCCATGGGAGACAGCTTGGCTTCCCACAAAGAAATGCGCCTGAAGCGTGCCTTGTTGCTGGGAAAATTTCACCGCCGCTGACACTCCTGCCGCCCTCTTTTTCTGCGTCGCTGCAGACAACAAACCTGTCGTCTTCACTGGTGGCGGTGGAGATGTCTCCCGCTCATCTAAGTCGGGCATGGTGACTTCGATTGGTGTCGAGTTGTCTGTGAAATGTTAGGCCCCGCTCGGTAACAGGTTAAATTAAATTAAGTTAAATTATTTGGCCGATTAGGAAGGTGCGAGGAGCTGCAAAACCTGGAGATGTGCACGGTAAAACACCAGTTAAAACTTGGTTATCTGGTACTTCTCGCACCCTCCTGTACTGGTGTCCCTTTACACTACCTTTATAAAACATTGAATTTGCCTTTTGTCTTCTCCTCTACCATGCACTCTAACATTGTGCCTGATCCTCGTCACTGCATTGAACTTGCCCTCTTAGAGCTCCCAACATTCAAGGACACGATGGAAGAGCATGAGCACAGTTTGTTTGCATAATCTCTACGACTCACTGTGAAACCTAGGACAACTGACAATAACTGACAAAGTACTCGGTTTAACTGAGCTGGGCGCGCCGGGTTTTTCACGCCTTCCTAATTCGGCCAAATAATTTAACTTAATTTAATTTAACCTGTTACCGAGCGGGGCCTTAGTGAGATGAAATAGATGTATTCCTTTAGTAGTCACAGATATATGCTAGGCTGACAAAGACGGGGTCCTTGGGGGTGTCAGCTTCGCAGATGGTGGTTACGGAGAAAGGAGTCCCATGATGTCTGCCACCACCCATGCATGCGGCGCAGCATCATCACCGGGAATAGACGATACCGACGACAGCGATGAAAACATCGATAGCATTGAGGGCAAGATGGGTTATGCAGACTACAATAACATTGAGGATTTGGTCTTACCAACCGATGAACGCACGAGGGCCGCTGGATCAGCGGGGGAGGACGACGCCAGAGAGGAAGCTGACGTGGCAGAAGCGATGGAAGTGGTGAGCGAGGGCGAGGTGCCGGGGCCAGCGACAGCTCCGGAACATAATGTGATAGAGTTGTCGAGTGACGACGAGGGCACAAGCGCCATAGTAACTCATTGACGAAGCGTGATAGACCTCACAAAAGATGATTCAGATTATGGATGGTAAAGTGGGGCGTCCGCGATGCTTCGGCTATCGAATACGATACACCATGGGTTCAGTTACTTGCAAAATCGAGGTGCGTGGTTCGCGAGCGGGAGTAAACGAGTAAAGAGCAATTTTGACGTACACGAATTTGGACGTTCGACGATAGACTATCCCCTGGGCGCGCCAGCAAGGAAGAGCGCGAGAGACGAACATCGATGAACGCTGAGCGCTGAATAGTCACATGTCGTTGATATTGAAGCAAACCAATTAGCACGGTACGACCCCGTTGGACACTCACACAGGTTAGTGCCAGAAAGTCGTTGAATCCGGAAGTCTGGTGCTGCGCGAGCTGTGGTATACGGGGCGGTTGCGGGGTTCCCAAACAAAGTCAATTGCATGTGATCTAACCGCGTCGCGTAGATTTCATAGCCCCCCTGCACCTGAGCTTATCTATAACCTATTCCCATTCCCTGTGTTCCCCGGCAATATTCCCAGTTTGAGCACCTCGAGTATGAGCAGATCATAGAGTTCATCGAATGTTTTCGCGACTTTCGTGAAGATATCAGCATTATCCAACCGCTGCGATCTTCACAGATAAACAGGCAGTTATACGATCATCTGAGCACCCCAACTCAGCAAGGCCAGGGCATTACATCTACGCGCCCATGCGAAGGCTTTCTCGTTCTCTTCGCAGAGGACAACTAGCGCTAACGAACGTTTCTCTTAGATGGATAGCCGGCCACGAAGGAGTGGCATGCAACGAGCAGGCGAATCTAGAAGCAAAACTTGCGGGAAGCTCTCTGCAGCAGTCCAGCCCAACGAGTCCGCTCCCAGCATTCCTCCGACGAGACCCTTGCAACGCAGTGCTGCCGCACTAAAGCAGGAATACAGGACAACACCATACGCGCGATGGAAAGAGCAATGGCTCAAATCCGAGAGGAGTCGTATCCATAGACTCCTCCCTCCCCTCAGGCAAATATATGAAGTTGATTAGTTCTTTCTCCCGACGAAAAACGGTTGTCCTAATGCAGCTGCGTGCCCGACGCTTCCCTCTGAATCGACACCTCCACCGCATCGGGAAAAAGCGACGCTCCGCAGTGTGAATACTTCCCAGACCGAGATGAAACCGTTCGACACTTCCCCACCGTAAGAACAAAGTTATGAAATTCGTAGACCAGACCGGGAGACTTAAGTCTACATTCGGCTCGGTACGTCACACGCTATACTCAGGAAAATAATACTGCTCTCTAGTCAGGACCGCCGAAAGGCGCTATCTTCAGGGCTCGGGGTGGAGACTTGCATCACAACACAACATCGGACATTGGCATTAGAGTCCCCAAGAACAGGCCTAGCAGGCTACAGCTGAGCCAGAATCATCACACCACCCTCCACTATCATGTACGAAGACAAATACATAGATTAGTCCCACTTTCTTCACAGTGGCCTGGGGAACCTCGTCGGAAACGGGGTGACCAGGGGGGGCCGTCCAATGCCGAACCTGGAACCCTCAGGAGCTGAGTGGGATCGGGAAATGGGCCCTTTTCATTCGTCTCGTAGAGTACGTGTGTATCGTCCGACATGGGGTGACCAACCCCGATGGACGCAATTGGAATCATTATAATAATAATAATAATAATAATAATAATAATAATAATAGTAATAATAATAGAACAATTTGTTTTAATCTTTTTAGGAGCTGGTCTTGATCCCAACCGTGGCTTAGTGGGAGCATTCTGGAAGTAATAAGCACTTTTGTGTCTATCGATGTGTAGACAAAATAAATAAAGAAGAGTACTATCTATTTGCGACAAGCAGAGAGCAGAAATACAGTGCAATGGGATGTATGGCTCCCACCTTGCGCTAACGAGGACGGTGTTGAAACCGGAAGTCCGGCAATCGCGCTCGTCTGGCTAGGTACGGCAGTCCGGCGGCAAGTCGCGAGGGGTTTGGGGGTCGAAGTCGAAGTCAAAACCACGGTCGGCATTGGGTCAGCATGTTAATGTTCGTCTATTTAAATGTACTTGGGTAGGTCAGGGCCAGAGTAGTACGTCCAAATCTTCGAGACGCTGTGAGCATAGTATTTATGGCGATAGTCATCGGATGGTTGTGCTCCGTGGTGGTACCCAGATGGTAACGGAGGGCTCGGGACGGTCCGTTGGGTGCGGTTAGCACCGCAGCCGCGCCTACCCTCCCCTCTTGTGCGGATCCATCTGTATCCACTCGTACGTACTCGGAGTACCGGCCGTGGTCGGTGACTGCCTCATCTCGGTTTTTTGCAATGGCTGTCTGAATCCCCACCTCTGCACGAGGTACCGCATGTTGATAGAACATGGGCTCGACTGAGCCTGGTGGAAGATCAAAACTATGAACAAAGTTATGCAGCAACGAGCGATGACGCGAACGGCCGACAATATGACGTGCGATGTGCCTGAGGTGCTTGAGTAGCTGGTGTGTGTCTGGGAGCGAAGCCAGCCTGGTCTCCGCGCTATGGAAGAACTGCTGGACTAGCAACGTTGCCTGTAGGAGATTCGCGTGAGCCTCGAGTACCCCCGTAGCTGTTCCGTACATTGCTCCGAGGGACGTGCCGGCGGCGACACGCTGGACGCTTGTGATCCGCCGAATCATCTCTAGTGAGCCGCGCTGTGCATAGGACGAGTTGCCCACGAACGGCGGTATAAGCCATGTATCGCAAGCGTAGGGTGTTTTAGGGAGGGCTATGGCTTTATAAAGCTGCATCGTCATTTTGGCTGAAAGGCCCATCGACACTCGAGACTGTCGACGGAACTGCATGGCATACGCCATGCCCTTTTCCACGGCCGCCACTCCCTGCGCTTTCCAGCGCAACTCTCGGTCGATGACCACTCCTAAGAGCTTGTGTGGCGACTCCGACTCGATCGTGTGGACAAATTGTATTAACAGCATAGTATTTATATATCCTGGACTGAGAGGGGGACTGTATGGATGACGGGCGAAGCCAACGTCTTCAGCCGAAGAAAGACTGCATCAAAGAACACTGATTCCCAAGCGCTCACGACTACGACTACATACACAGCACAAATCACAAGCTGGTCGAGAAGTCCCGTTCTTTATATCCTATGTTTTGTAGCTGTGTAAGTACCAGCGGCCACGGAAATTGGACGAGATCCGCCTTGCCAGGCACAGCTTCAACCCACAGCGGTTTATCACAGGTTTTGAAATCTTCGCAGCGGATGCAAGTGTACTCGAGTTTGGTTTTAATCCAATCCTTCCCTTGGCGAGGGCTCTCGGTTGTTGTGAACTTGAGATACTGCAAAGTTCCATTACATTTAAAGCACCTCCAGAAGTCGATTCCCCATGGGCGCCAGGTGAAGTTGGAGAGGGCGAGCATTTTGGACTTAGTCCCCTTGAACACTCGCTGGCCCTTTTGATCATCATATTGGTTCCAGACCAGTACTGGCGGAACATTATCGAGCGACATATAATCCTCGGCGAAGGATTTCACGAGGGCTTCCCATGGTTCCAAACCATGGATATAAACATTGCGTACGAATGCCGCGAGCGGGGCGTCAACTTGCCGATCAATGGTCGTTTGGCCGCCAAAAGCGAGCACGAAATCAAATAGAGATCTGTCGCAGCGATGTTAGTCCGGGATGCAGGTAACAGCCAAAATCTGCTCACTGGCTGACCAGGCTGCGAAGCCTCAGAAAACTGGCATGGTTGCGGACGCTTGGGCCACAGCTAAGGAGGACAAGTCCACGTGTAACTTTGAGGCCGCGCGACACAAGTCCATCCATTTGGACGAGGGTATCCACCAATTTGCTCCCACAGGTGAATAGTATCAGCTGCTAACTAAGCTCAGTGTCCCAATGTTAGAAATTGATTACTTACATCGGTAATTGGAGCACTCCTGAGGCTATCGTTGTTCCCTGACACGACCAAGTCTCCTGATTCGAAATCACAGTGTGTATCAATGTAAACAAGGACGTCGGTCTGATATTGTTTTTCGCCGATCCAGGCCAGCTCGTCTTCTTTGATACACAAAACCTTGGCCTTCGTGTCCGGTAAGGGATTGATTACCATGTGTAGCTATTTAGCATGATAGATGATCAGTTATGTCATCCCAACACTTAGGCAAGGCCGACCTTATCCTGTGGGATTTCTTCTTCAAGGAAGTATGTGATGATATCCTCACATAAATGTCTGTCTTTCCCCCAGGTCGAAAATGATGCCCACAGTGGACCTCGAGAGCATTTCATAAAGTTGCGGTATTTGGAGTGGGAGGCTGTAGTGTACTGGTAGTTTCTCTAAGCGGTGTTTTCATTTGACCTCAGCTGGTTATGCTTACCGGAAAGGGCTTGCGCTCATTCTTCAAGCATCGTGGGCACTTGAAAGATGCTTCATCGACCTCTATACACTTTAGGCAGGCCTTCCCGCCATTACTCCCGCAAACAACGGTCTTACAGTCAATACACGTCCATAGCTTGCTGCCGGTGTCAATATGACATATATCGCACTGATACTGTTATGTTAGCTTCCATTACGATGATCTTCGTTGAGAGGGTGAGCATACGCTTTTTTTCGCAGCAGGAGTGGTATGATTACTATGATCCATGGAGGTACCCAGGTGGTGCTGGTGAGAGATTGAGCTTGAGATATGCACAGGAATCCAGCTCCGAGCTAAGATTAAAAGAGATTTCCCACCCCATGTAGGCTCGTGACCTGTCTCTTCTTATGCGGCCTAATAAGGCAACGAGCCAAAGGGCTCTCGCGTCAGAGAGACTGGGACACTGGTAGATAGGAGGATCCAGATTCGTACTCGTATATCTTCTAGAAATGCCAGGGGCTGCCAGCATTGCCCCAGGTGTCATGTTTGCTTGAGGCTCGGTTGCTCCTGGGCCCAGAGTTTCCTATGCATGCGGTGCTGCATTTTAACACCCTGTTGGTGCCAACCCCTAGGAATATTGAAACACCTGTGGAAGCACCCAAGCTTGGAACAATCCTAGTGTGATATCATGCAGAATGCTTCAAAAGGCTTAGCCTGTGCATGTGAGGAAGCATAAATGTTTGTATAGACTCGAGGTTTTCACTTCCTAATTGGGCTGCTAGGATCGGTGTTGCAAATGGGAGCCATAATCCCAAGAAAAGAAGCTGAAGGGAATCTCATAATTGGCCCAGTGTCCTTCGTAATCCAAGCCTAGGCACAAAAATTTGTACTTTAACTCAGACGAGTACTGGGAAGTCTCAATAGTTGACTGGTCATTTATGCATCGATTTGGCATCTTTGCAGAATAATGGATGCCTACCAGCCGAGTACTTATGTCTTTCTTGATATCAGTGAACCCGCCACTGTCAAGGCCTTGACCCGTCTAAGTTGCACTTGCCGGTTTGATACGTTAGTAACGTTTATACACTTAACAGCTGCTTAACAGCTCCGCGCGCCCAATACTTACTGTATATGATGTAGGTTGTACTCCACTTCATTGCAGTGAAGACCGTTATTACACGGTAGCAGGCCATGCTGCGCACCGTGCGGCACTACTCTACTAGTTCACATTTTGGATATGCTGCGTCTGGCGAGCTGTCCAGTTCTTACAAGACTAGAGCTGACTTTTTTCGGACTGCCGCAGGATGACTTTTCAGCTCGAGCGCGTATTAATCATTGTCCGTGTCATCGTCAGGGCCAGAATTTTTGGCGTTTGTCATTTGTCCGGGGTGCAGGCAATTGCCCCCTCATTTATCCGCTGGTCTTCTCGTCACCTGTACTTTGCCAACTAAGTAAGCTGACTGCCAGATCACTATTTCTGGCCCGACATTATTGCAGCCAGCGCTCATAGAGGATCTGTGGAAACAGCGAACGCACAAGATATGGGAAACCATCGTCAAACCGAGCATCATAAAAGTACCAGAGGAAGCTCAGCTCAAAAATACTGCACTGCGCTGGGCTGAGGAGGCCGGCAATGGGCCTACGTATCTGCTTATCAACTGGGGTGCAGCGGCTGGCTACCACATCTGGGCTGGGGGAAGAGGGATAGAACGGTCAAAGTCGACGGTCCCGACGACGGCCCCCATCTGCCTCAACGGCGCACAGCCCGACGTGCTCGCCGTCAACTTGTGTCGGCCGCAACCGCAGGAGTTCCACCGGTATGTTTTTCGGGCCATCCCATGCATCGCCGCAACGAACGGGGGCATATCACGCCACACGGCAGCCACACGCACCAGTGCAGCCTTCGGCAAAGCTGCTCTTGGAGTGCATGTAGTCAGAAGCTATCAGAGCGTTACAGACCGATTGAGAGGTCATACACTCCGCTCTCGTCTCCTCACAATCGCTGCTCAAGTCCCTTACACCCCAAACAGGAGATAGCACAAGAGCACTCGTTGTGGCAGTGGAAGGTGATCAAGCGACCAGTCTCACTCTCAGGGAAGCGACCGCCATGCAGCGCTCATCAGTGTCTGAGTACGTCAGATCCCAGGCATCAAAGCCAACCTCAAAAGATGGGCACTACCAAAGATGCCGGAAGCGGTGGAGGGCCTTAAGGGGCCGGCAGGTCGGTACGAAATAAGGGAGAAAGACACGAATATCAGTCACGGAGCCACCAGACAAGATGCATCGGACTTGCCTTGTCAGATGGCAGACAACAGCAACCGTGGATAGCAGGCTATATGGGACCGCTGCTGGATAAAGGAGGGGTACATCCGGAAACATGGAGAGAGAAGATGCACTCAAATGCAAGGGCAACCCGCTTCTAATGAGGCGTGATACGCGTGCAGACGCGCAGAGTTGGCCCTGCAACCGACGCTGTCACAGCTTCCTCTCTACAGAGCGCCGCCCCACCAGGCGAGCGACGCGGAAGCGGATGGCACGGAGCGATGAGACATGGGCAAGGTCCCGACTGATCACGGCGTTGTGGCAATGCGAGGGTCAACCCACCCTACAGGAGCGTGATGTACGTACACGCTGGGATGACCCTGCAGCCGACGCAGTCAACACTTCTTCTCTAAAGAGGGCCGCTCACAAGTGTGAGCCACCCAGAAGTGGACATCGAGGGCTATCCACAACGGTGGTGACGGAAAGAGGGAAAAATGCGCGGTTGGGTTTGCCTCGTGTCGCATTCATCGGACCCTACTTCTCACGTGACTCACACGGTCCGGCGCACGTGTCGCGCGGGGGAAATGGGAACTTTTTTGGTATCGGTGTCGGCTCGTGTCGGCGGGTGTCGGCGGGTGTCGGCGCGAAACAGCGACGTCACCGCTGCGGGATGCCAAAATCATGTGACGCGTGACGAAGTCGCGTCTCGCTTAGCGTATTCCAATGATTTTATCGCCCATATTCCAATTCGGGGAAATGCCGCTAGGAGCGGCGGCAAACCTTGCTCGACCACTCTTGTTGGGAGAAAGAGGGAGAATACCGACCTCTTTTTTTTCCTATGAAACGGAGTGCTCGATGTGCATATCAACATATCCCTAATATATACACTTGATTTTGAGTGCCAGTCTGCCACAATACCCGGGGCCATATCCGAGTCCTTGGAAGGGGTAATGTAGACGTCCATAATTCAGCATCAGTTCGAAGCCTTGAAACTCCCGGAAACCTGCCTCCTAACCGTATATATAAGAAATATCAGCTTTTGTTTGACAATGGTTGTGCCCCAACAAGAATGTCTTGGCTAAGTCGCAGCAGTTGACACAACCATTTGCATTTTGACCTGAGCGTCCGTTGTAGTATATAAGGGTTGCGTTTGCTCGGTCAGCTGCCCCAACAGAAAACTCAGTGCTCAGCCTGCGTGAAGAATATACTTCGCCGACGAGTGCAGGGTACAAAAGGCTCCAGCATCCCAGAGCAACACATGTTATATAAATTATCGCTGAATTTTGCTATGAACGCGAGCGCGTCTGCGCATTTGTATAAGCGTCGGACACTAAGAAGAGATAGTTATGGCATGAAAGCATCGGGAATTCTACGACCCAACGCGTATAATAGATATTAAGTCACAAAAGTCGAGTAGAAGGCCATAATACTGTCGCAAACCCCGAGCCTAATCATTCCACAGACAGACACTATCTACAAGTACAGGAAGTATTTAGAGTCTACAGTACTTATACTAGCATGTGCTATATAAGCACTATCGAGGCACGGAAAATCCATTAGACCGCGCAAACCCTCTAATGTAACAGTTTATGAGCTGTTTTCATCTCGCTCTGCTTCATCTTTCATATTATATGATTTTCTTCGGCTCGTGAGTCAAGAGAGCAGGCTGTACAGGAGCAGCACTCTACGGACATAAATTCCGTATCTCTGAGTTATCATACAACGTGCAGATCTCAGGGAAGTTAAGTTCCGATGGGCTTCAGCGTATTCCATGATCACCAGAACTGGAGTACTTATAGCTACCACAGCACGCGAGGTACATGTGGAAGTTGGCGAGCCGTCCCATTCCTTCGACTCGGACTTCTGCATGTTTGATCATTCGACGCATAGGCAGGTTAACACTATAACATCATGTTGAGAATATAATACAATAAATGATAACGCTGTGGAATACAGAGTACATCATCCCATACAGCAAGGGGCTGACCACATTATCGATTCTGTCTTCGCTACGCAAGTTGACTTAATGTTTCATCTGTATGCTCACATAGAAGGAAGTGCAGTTAGCAAGATAGTCAGCGTTCTTTCATGATTTACTGGCACAGCTCAGTGATATTAAACGAGCATAACAGCGGTCCAAGCTGTCGCCGACCGGTGTGGTTCATGTCGCAACATTGAATGATCAAAGGAATAGATAGGGGCTTTGTTATCTATATCAAGCTTTTGTTTGTACTTATGTGGCAGGCGCGCTTTTTCCACGCAATAAAGGGGTGACAGAAACCTTGTCAAGCAAGGTAATGCACATATTCGACGCCCCAGGCACTCGTGCTTGGGCTGAATATAAATTTCGTTCTCGTCCGCCTCGTCTCTTCGTCTCGTTCCCATTTCCCTTTCTCTTCCTTCCTATTCCTCGCGTCTCCCTCTTTCTAATCCTTATTCTACGGCTCATACACCATTTGCACCATCTTTCCATCGACATCTACTAGCGAAACCCATGGAGCCTCGAAAGGCTAAGTCCATGCCCAAGAACACTGAGGACGACTATGTCATATGTCCGTCGTGTCCGGAGGAGACGCTCCTCTACCCTGCGATCGTTGGTGGTAGGAAGGCGACGCATTATGGCCAGTGTCATGTCAAGGTACGTCTCTACGTTTCGATATGTTTTCTTCATGTACTGACCTCTTGATTAGTGTTTCAAGCCGCACCCGCGCGACAAGGACGTCTGGTATTTCTACGAGCCAGGAAGCTGGCTTTTCCCTTTTTCATTGGTGATCAGTACGTCGCTCACGATATAGTTGTTACGATAGTTCCAGCCACACACTGCATCAACGATTGATACATATACATACACGACAAGAAAACCCTGGGGGAGTAGCCCGTTTAGGGCAACTAGGTCATACGAAGGGTCGGCGAGCCGGAGGTGAGCCGAAGAAGTTCCAAGGGGTGCTTCGGGAGCCAAAAATGTGGCAAGGGCTGGCCGGTGGCCCCTTGAATGCACTAGAAAGAGTCACGTGATGCACAATCGGCGTGCTTGGCGAAATTAATCCAGGCTGATGGAGTTCTGGGCATTTCTGGCTGCACTCTCCTACCCAGATGGACGGTCGTGTAGTGTAGCATTAATCCCAGTATACTAGTACTATTATTAATTCTAATTACTATATAAGGTTTAATCTCCGACCCGATCAAGAAAACTTTTGAGCGACGACTACACGACCGACCCTCTGGGGGAAATTGCAGGGGCCGGCATGCTCGGCTGGCTCGGCTATGTCTAAATTGTGCCCTCCGAGCTGGCTGCTTGGCCGCTGATACAACAATGCTGTCGACTTCACGGACGAATGCATGTGAATAATCAAAATTAGAAAACAAAAACGAAGGAGGAAGTGCGAGGACTCATCAACAAAAGACATAACTACTGGGGACTTGGTTATGTCGGCCGGCTTGGGATCCCTTATTTAGATATAGCCGGAGCCT